CCGAACTCTGCGTTTTTAGACTAAAAACGCAGAGTTGGGCCTATTTTGGTGGCTGAACGCACAGTTCGTGCTGTTTTGGAGATTAACTCTGCGTTTTAGGCTAAAAACGCAGAGTTGGGCATGTTTAAAGGCTGAAAACGCACAGTTCGTGCTGTTTTGGAGATTAACTCTGCGTTTTGATGTTGAAAACCAGAGTTGGGCATGTTTAAAGGCTGAAAACGCACAGGTCGTGCTGTTTTGGAGATTAACTCTGCGTTTTGATGTTGAAAACGCAGAGTTGAGCCTGTTTAAAGGCTGAAAACGCACAGTTGTGCTGTTTTAAAGATTAACTCTGCGTTTCTAGATTGAAAACGCAGAGTTGAGCCTGTTTAAAGGCTGAAAACGCACAGTTGTGCTGTTTTAGAGATGAACTCTGCGTTTTAGGCTGAAAACGCAGAGTTGTTTTGTCATAGCGTTGCAAAGATCATTGTCTTGTAATCTTCGTCTTGGCTCCTTGAAAATATGAGAGTCGTCAGATTGTAACTCCCGATGTTGATTGTGAAGGCTGTTGAATTGGGGCCTTCATTAGTTGTTGTGAAGGTCGTCAGATTGTAACCTTCTACGTGAAAGTCATCAAATTGTAGCCTTCTGGAAGTCGTCAGATTGTAACTTCCATCATCGGTGTTTGATGGGGGATCAACTATCTATTGTGATTTTTAGACAGCCTACACCGCCACACCATAAAAAAATCCTAAACCCTAACCTGTCGGAGATGCCGCCGCTGCTTCGCCGCCATCGCTACTTCCCAAGCTTCTTCTTTGCGAGCTCTCCTTGCTGGTTCTGAGCTCAGAGACGCCGTCGCTGTTTCTCTGCTTCGCCGTCATCGCTACTTCCTCGTTGGCGCCAGATCCGTCACCTTTGAAGTTCGCCGACACCAGATCCATCGTCTTCGAAGCTTGTTTTTAGTGCTCGCAGCCCCTTTCTCCTGATCTCGTCTCCTCTCCTTGATCTGGCCTTTACCAGGTCGACGACGTCGAGATCTTGCATAGGTCGCTAATCTCTCGTTGAAGCTACGGGATTTCTCCTGATCTCGTTTCCTTTTTTTGTGAGTCGAAGACGAGAGAGAAGAGTGAGAGAGATGGATTGTTTTATTGTAAGGAACCGACAAATGGCCTTTGGGTTCCTGTTATCTCTCTTTCTCATTTGTATTCTATCTGATTTGTTGAACAGTTAAAAAAAAGGTGTAAAAAAAATTTAAAGCAAAAAAAAAAAATTACGGACTCTATCTTAACCTTCGGGTTCCCATTCTAACCTTCGGGTTCTAACCCGGGTTTTAACCCTTCGGGTTCTATTCTAACCTTCAGGTTTCTACTTTAAACCTTCGGGTTTTATACAAGGAGATTGTGACCCTCCTGCTACTGTACTATCATGTTCTGTAACAATGACATGATCTGACATCTCTTCTGCTGCAATTACTACCTCTACTACTGTTGATATTTCTACTCCCAAAGTTGTATTGGGAACCACTGTGAAGTTAAATGGCACAAACTATCTTCTTTGGGCTCAGGCCTTTCGCATTTTTATTGGAGCTCAGAACAAATTAGCTCATCTTCTGAGCTCTCCTCCTGCTTCTACTGATCCTACGTATCCCGCATGGATCTCTGCTGACTGTTGTGTGATGACTTGGCTCCTTAATAGCATGGAAGCCCAGATCAGTAGCAGTGTCATGTTCTCGAACACTGCTAAGGAGATGTGGGACAATTTAAAAATTATGTACGGGAATAAGAAAAATGCATCCCGTGTGTTCGAATTGTATGAACACCTTTTTTCTCTTCAACAGGGCGATCGCTCTGTACCTGAGTACTTTGGTGAGCTGAAATGTCTGATCGATGAATTAGAGATGCATAACCCACCGTCACGGATGCACCAACACTGTTGGGATATCGTAGGGACCTTGCAGTGTCCAAGTTCTTATCGGGTCTAAGTCCCACTTTACAATCTCAAGTACGAGGCCAGATACTAGGAGGAGATACTATTCTCTCTTTGACTGCTACTTTCTCAAGAGTTATGCAGGTCACTATTGAAGATACTGATGCCTCTTTGACTACTCCGTCTACTCCGTCTCTTGACCAGTCTGTTATGTTCTCCGGACGTGGCAGAGGTCGAGGTCGTGGTCGTGGACGAGGATCTTTTGGTGGAAGATAAATTGACTCAGATAGGAATCTGCGTCAATGCCACCATTGTGGAAGAACTAATCATATATCTGAGAAGTGTTGGGAAAAGTTTGGTCGTCCTGCATGAGCCCAAATAGCTAATACTACCTCTGCTGCTTCTCCTACTACTACTACTTCCACTTCCTCCACAGTTCAAATTTCTCAGACTGAATTTGACCGGTTGCGTCAACTCGATCTCTCTTAGAACAGTTATTCTGCTACTCATGCATCTTCTTCAGATATGGATGCCTACATTGCCTCTCCTCACAGACCATGGGTATTAGATTTTGGCGCCTCTTCTCATATGATAAGTATAAAGGACCACTTTGTTTTCTTAAACCTTTCTGACAAATTTCCATCGGTCCGGATCGCTGATAGGACATACTCTCTAGTTCTTGGTGATGGAGTAGTCCATGCTACTTCATCGCTGACTCTTACTGATATTTTATATCTTCCCAAATTTCCTGTTAGTTTACTGTCCATCAGTCAATTCACAAAACATCTTACTGATATTTTATATCTTCCCAAATTTCCTGTTAGTTTACTGTCCATCAGTCAATTCACAAAACATAACAACTACAAAGTCACATTTTCCCCTTCTCATTGTGTTTTTCAGGACCTAGCAACTGGAATGAAGATTGGTTCGGGGCATGAGAGAGGAGGCATGTACTATTTGGACGATTATATGCCTGCTACTGGTCTTGTTGCAGATAAGTCTGATAATCCTTTATTATGGCATCAACGACTTGGTCATCCCTCGTTATCGAAGCTTAGGTCTGTCATTTCTATCCAGTCTTCTATTTCTTCTTTAGGTTGTGAGTCTTGTGAACTGGGTAAGCACCATTGTGCTACCCATCCGAGTCGTATTGAAAAACACAGTAGTTCTGCATTCGAGTTAGTCCATTCTGATGTTTGGGGTCCATGTCGTATACCTTCTGTGAACGGTTACAGATATTTCCTTATCTTTATTGATGACTTCTCTCGCATGACTTGGCTTTATCTTTTAAAAGAGAGATCTGAGGTTTCCAACATTTTTTGAAATATTTTACAAAGAAATCAAAAACCAATTTTCTACCTCTATTCGTATCCTTCGTACCGATAATGCTTTGGAATACATGAAACATGACCTCTCTCATTTTTGTGCAAATACTGGTATTATCCACCAAACTTCATGTTCTCACACTTCACAACAAAATGGAGTTGCTGAAATGAAGCATAGACACATTTTAGACGTTGCTAGAACCCTGATGGTACATATACATGTACCAAAGTATTTGTGGTCTGATGCTGTTCTCAGTGCATGTTTCCTAATCAATAGGATGCCCTCTCCTGTTCTTAATGGTAAAATACCATTCACATGCCTTTATCCTGACAAAAGGCTTTTTCCTGTGGTTCCTCGAGTTTTTGGCTGTACTTGCTTTGTTCAGGATTTGTCTCCAGGACTGGATAAACTGTCTCCACGGTCTATTAAGTGTGTCTTTGTAGGCTACTCTTCAGGATTTGTCTCCAGGACTGGATAAACTGTCTCCACGGTCTATTAAGTGTGTCTTTGTAGGCTACTCGCGTACTCAAAAAGGTTATCGATGTTATAATCCATCCACCAGGAAATATTTTGTGTCTGCAGATGTAACCTTTTTAGAGTCGGTTCCATACTTCTCCTTGACTGGTTCACCCCCAACTGTCAGTCCATCTGTGCCTCTTCCGTCTATTGCTCCTACCACTGTTCTATTACCTGCTTCGGTTCCTTCTGCTGATGGATCTTCTCCACGATAACAAAATGCTTTCACTGTGCCATCTGCACCACCATCACTATTGACGTATTGTCGTCGTTCAAAAGTTCATGTTCCTCTCTCTGCTCCAGCCGAACAGTCATCTCCCGTTGAAGGTCTGCCTCCTTCTAATCCTTCTGATCTAGATATTCTAATTGCTCATCGAAAAGGTAAACGGTCTTGTATTAATCATCCTATATCTGATTTTGTTTTCTATGACCGTCTTACTCCCTCTTATCGTCAGTTTGCTTTGTCCTTGTCCTCTACATCTCTACACAGGTCATATGAGGAGGCCGTATTAGATCATGCATGGCAACAGGCCATAGATGAGGAGATGGATGCACTTGTTTCTAGAGGGACTTGGGATCTTGTATCTTCTCCTACGGGCGCTATTGTAGTTGGCTGTTGGTGGGTTTATACCTTGAAGTATCGCACCGATGGTTCGATTGATCGTTATAAAGCTCGTCTTGTTGCTAAGGGATATACTCAAACCTATGGGGTCGATTATCTTGAGACGTTCTCTCCCGTAGCCCATCTCAATTCCATTCGCCTCCTTTTCTCTATGGCTGTTAATTTGGACTGGACAATGTTTCAGCTGGATGTTTAAAATACCTTTCTGTATGGTGACTTGCAGGAGGAAGTCTATATGGTGCAACCTCCAGGGTATGTTGCTCAGGGGGAGAATATTGTCTGCAAGCTTAAAAAGGCGATTTATGGTCTCAAACAGAGTCCACGGGCATGGTTTGAGAAATTTAGTATTGATATATCTGGTGTCGGTTTCAAATGATGTCAGTCTAATCACTTCGTCTTTATCCGGCGCACTACATCCGGTTTGGTGGTTCTAGCAGTATATGTTGATGACATCCTGCTAACTGGAAGTGACATTGCTGCCATAGCAGAGACTAAGGAGTACCTTTCACGTCACTTTGTGACCAAATATATGGGAAAACCCAAATACTTTCTTGGGATTGAGATTGCATATCAAAAGGACCGTTTGCTTCTATCTCAAAGGAAATATGTATTGGACCTATTAGAATAAATGGGCCTTTTGGGGTGTAAGCCAGCAAGCACTCCTATGGAAGTAAATGTGGATTTGTGGCGTGATAATAGTCCTCTCCTAGATGATGCAGGTCGATATAGGAGATTGATTGGCAAGTTGATCTATCTTACTGTGACCAGACCTGATATTACCTTTGCAGTGGGAGTATTTAGCAGGTTTATGCATTATATACCTAGAGAGGTTCACTGGACTGCTGCTCTAAGAATTTTGGCTTATGTTAAAAGCTGTCCGGGAAAAGGATTACTGTATAAGAAACATGGACATTTACACATCTCTGCCTATTCTGATGCTGGGTATGCAGGAAATATAGGAGATAGAAAGTCTACTTCTGAATTTTACACCTTTATTGGAGGAAATTTGGTTACTTGGAGGAGCAAGAAATAAGATGTAGTATCTCGATCTAGTGCAGAAGCAGAATACAGAGCTATGGCTCACACTGTTTGTGAGATGATATGGTTACAGAAGCTGCTGACCGAGCTTGGCTTTTCTCAGCCTGAATCTATGCCTATGCATTGTGATAATCATCCTGCTATCCACATTATAAAGAATCCAGTGTTTCATGAAAGAACTAAGCATATTGAAGTTGATTGTAATTTTGTCAGAGATGCTTGGGAAAAGAAAGTGATATCTCTTCAGTTCACTCCGTCTTCAGAACAGTTAGCTGACATTCTCACTAAAGCTACTTCACCTAATGTGTTTTCCATTCTATGTAACAAGCTGGGCATGACTGATATATATGCTCCAGCTTGAGGGGGAGTGTTAGAATTAGTTCTTGGGTTATCGGGTCAGGGCCCATTAACCCATTAGCCTATTACCCATATGTAACCTTATATATATACCCATGTGGATGAATGGAAGGGTGGACTCTCTGATCATTTTTTTACTCTCAACAAGTGGAATCTTACCATCCTCTCCCCGTGGACGTAGGCAATTTGCTGAATCACGTAAAATTAGTTGTCTCACTATTTGTATGATTTATAATAGTTTAGGTTCCCTCGACAAGTCAGTCCTAGAAATGATGAGAGGAAGAGCTGATATCCCACTTTGTTGAGATATTTTGCTTAAGGTTCTTGTTTTCTTTGTGAAACAAAAAATTTCTATTACGACCTGACTCTCTTGTTGTGCTGCCGAAGTGTTGCCAAAATTTTCGTTGCGCGCAACAAGGTCAAGGTTTGGAAGAGGGGATGAAGATTTTAAGGAGTTTTTTGATATATAATAAGGGGGGAATTTTTGGAGTCGTGAGATTTCCAAATCTGAAGCCGCGAAAATGAAATTTAAGTTTTTTTTCGTCTAGGAATTTATCCTAGACGGAAATTTCCGTCTAGGATAGGGGGAACCACAAATAATTAAAAAATAGTTAATAAAATCTGTCTAGGATACTATCCTAGATGGAAATTCCGTCTAGGATGTAACATCCTAGACGGAATATCCTAGACGGAATTTTTTCTTCTAGGATGTTCACATCCTAGACGGAAAAAATTCCGTCTAGGATGCACGGATTTCTACTAGTGTATAATTTTTCTTCTTTACAATGATTATTTTTTTATGCATATACTAATGTATAAAAGTTTTTCAAGTTTGGTTTTATGAATTAGTGGGGGAGCTAGAGTGTACCTCAGACACTGAAGGCCTACCACCGCTCTTTTGTGTTAAGAATACCAAAAAATGGAGGAGGACTACAATGAACAAATTGTTCAGCGATCCGAAATGAGTGAAGCTAAACAAGAGTGTTGCTAATAAGATATCGGTATCTTTTATAATTTTGTAACATGTACGTCTTTTCTTCGTACTTTTCTATTCAAGAGAATCTTGTGTATATAACTGAAACGATTCATAAAACTCAATAAAATTGAGTATGAGAGCCCCAGTGTGCTTTTAGAAGGAGAATGCTTAATTTGCTTTACAAACGTATCATTAATAATTTAAAAAAAAAGATTGGTCGACCATGCATGAACAGGAATTGATTCATTCAGAGCGCGCGCTAGCTAATTAATAGCAATCATCATTGTAAATTAGTTGTTGCAAACTAAATATATTAACATGCCAATTAGCCCTTGGATTGAGTGGCTTAAGCAATTATGCGGATTCACTATTCCTTTCAATTATTAGTTGATAGAAAGACATGAAACCTTTTCCAGCCTGTAGCCAGACAAGTTGTCTTGTCATAATCCAATCATATAGCAGCTGCCTGGTTCTAATTAATTGATTAATGATACTTGATTAATTGCAGCTTAATTAATTGGAGAGACAAAGTTATATTAATTGTTTCATTAGTTAAGTGAGTCACCATCTTTGGAAGACGAATATAATTGAACAGCCCCCTCTTCTCATAGCAAATGGCCTTCACTGAATTAGGTAGAGATGACAATTTTTCCTGGCTTGTTTGTGATAAAAATGCTCCAATTCATTATCTGAAGTCTTAGAACTTTCGTGACAGAAATTGACATGATTAAGAGGGGGAATCTTCTTCTAAATGAGTCCACAAGACACGTGCGTTTTAATTCCCATGGGACGTCTTTATACATCGTAGTATATTGTTGGGGAATCGAAACAATCAAATCGAACTTTTGTCCTTTCGGACCTTGTGTTGAAAGTAGGAAAGTAGGAAAATTCACCACAAATAAAGATCAAAACTTACAGGAATAATAAAGGAGACGAACACAGAGATTTAACGAGGTTCGGTAACGTGCCTACGTCCTCGGGAGCCACACCACACAATTCTTTTGATTAATTAAAAAAGAAATACAAGCTCTCAAACTAGGGTTTTATCTCTCTGAGATTCTCTCTCTTTTTCTGCTGTCAAAAGCTCTTTTTCATGTACTACAAAGCCCTAAAAACGTTTAGGTATATATAGAGTCCTGAAAGAAACAGAGTCCAAAACAGTTTAGGAAACTGTTTGACCGCGTCGCAGTCGACCGCGACGGTCGACTGCGCAGGTATCGCGGTCGACTGCGACGGTCGACCGAACCAAATTCCCGAGAGTAGAAAATATTACAGTGTTAGCGCGATTGACCACCACGGTCGACCGAACTGATTCCCGAGACCAAAAATCCCTACAGGGTCCTCGCGGTCGACTGCCTTCAGCTCCAGCCTCTTCTCAGCTCTGTGCACGTTCGCAGTTGACCGCCGCGGTCGACCGTACAGGCCTCCCACTTCAGCTTTGGGTCTACACTTTGGACTAACAGTCTCCCACTTGAACACCAAAGTGCCATCAGCGAGTTCACCCAAACTCTCCCTTCTTCGCAAGTATCTTCTCCTCCCTGGAAAAATCATTTCTTCAATCATCAATTATCTCGACGATCTCGCCGATCCTCGTAGTGTGGCTCCGCCTTCGTCTTCTACTCGTGAAGGCCAACTGAAGTTTTCATCTAACAAGGATAACCATGAAAAGACAAGAAGTTTTACAAAGAAATATGAAAAAAGAAAAGGAAGATCTCACATGGGATCTGCGTGATTTTGGAATCTAAATAATAGCACTTCCATCGCGAGAACATGTAACTATGTTTTCATGAGTGAACCTGAAAAAATGTGGGTCAATATGCATCAATCTGACAGACAACTTTGATAAGGGCTAGTTGACAATAGTTATTCTACTTGCATGTTATTCAAATACACGTGAAGGCCAACTGAAGTTGCGCATAACTCCAGTTTCTCAATGGTGACTGCCTTCGTCAACATGTCCGCCGGATTTTAACTCCCCAAAATCTTTATTAAGTGTAACTTTCCGTCTTCAACTAGCGAGCGTATAAAATGATATTTTACGTCGATGTGCTTCGTTCTGACATGATATACTGGATTCTTAGCAAGATGTATAGCGTTCTGACTATCACAATAAAGAACTCCTCTCCCTTGCTTCAGATCCAACTCTTCCAAGCACCCGTTCAAACAGATCATTTTCTTGCTTGCTTCGGTCATCGCGACATACTCAGCCTCGATTGTAGATAAAGTCACAATCTTCTGTAGACGTGAGACTTAGCTCACTGCTGTCGATGCTAAGGTATAAACATACCCTGTGGTGCTTTGCCTCATATCATGATCACCGGCAAAGTCCGCATCCACGTATCCCTGCAGCACTAATTCCTTCCTCCTGAAACATAGTTGTTTGTTCGTTGTTCCCCTCAAGTACCGCAATATCCACTTCACGACCTCCCAATCATGTTTCCCTCAAGATCCCTCCTTATATCCACGACTGATACGGATGTATCTTCTCTTCGGGAGCTTAGCGATCCTCATGGGAGCTTGAGGATAGATGATTCTCATGGTATCTTGAGAATAGAGTAGAGGAGTCGTGGACGAGGCCATTGTAGGCGACGAAGTCGAAGGATTCGTCAAAACTGCAGGATTTGCAGCTAGACTCTGGCCGGTCGACTAGCTTGGTCACGGCGGTCGACCGCTTAGTGCACAGGCCCAGACTATGTCTCGGGACTAAGAACGGTCGACCGATGAAGGCTCTGCGGTCGACCGGAAAACAGCGATCGACCGATGATGGCGCTGTGGTCGACCGGAAACACTGTAATCGATTTTTCCAGTTTTTGTCGTTCTGACCGGTCGACCGCCTTGGGCACTGCGGTCGACCGCGTAGCAGTTCCGGACCTGGGTCTGTTTCCTGCTCCAGTTGGGATTTCTGTTTAGTATAAATAGAAACACGACTTTTCTAGGGTTAGAACGCAGATTGTAATCAGAAAAGAGATCAGGGAAGTTGTTCTTTGATCTAGAGAGATTGTGAGAGAGAGATTTTGTAAATCCAATTGATTCTCATAATCTAGATAAGGTATTTTCCTTCGCCCTAATTATAACTCTTGTGTTCTTCAGTCGTTTTCTTCTTTACCCACTCTTGATAATTCCGCGATCAAGAGTGCTCGCACGGCGACTCGTATCAAGTTGGTATCAGAGCACTAGATCCTGTGAAGGGGGGAACTGTGTATGGTCCTTACTCGCTCACAGTACAAGAAGCTTGGCGAGATCCTTAATTCCTCGGAGGGGGTCCAGAAATTAAGGAAGGAGAAGATGTCTGAAGCAGATAATTCAACAAGACTTGATGCCATGGAGAAGCAGATTGAGACGATCGAGACGACTCTTACCCAACTCGTGGGCCTCATCAACGGAGGAGACAAAAAGGAGGAATCTTCTTCGAAGGGTAAGAAAGGACTCTACGAATCCGATGAGGAGAGCGAGAAAGCTGATTCAGAAGGGGAGACTGAGATTGTCAAGACTGCTGGACATCAAGGGGGTAAGAATCATTACCAGAATCTGAAGATTGACTTCAAGGTTGAGATTCCTGTTTATGATGGGAGTATCAATGTGGAGAAGCTTGATGATTGGATCGAACGTATGGAGATGTACTTCACTCTCTACGGATATTCGTCCAAGGAGAAGATAGTGTT